TATTATAAATTCTGTATCTTCAATTGTTTGTATTTTATAGACCAAATTTAAGAGCTTATAGACTGGACGACGATGTTTATATATGTTCACATGAAAAGTAATTGAAGGATTTCATCTCATAATTAAGAATTATATAAACTGAATTGCAAAGTTAAGATTCTTCATTTGAAGTATAAAAGCGAGAGTTTTAGCCAGAAATGAAATTAAAATTCAGATTATTTTCGACAATCGAAAACAAAATTGAAAAAAATAATGCCGTCAAACTACTAATCGTTTCTTTACACTGTTCGAGCAAATTGGTTCTTTAATCTTTCAAATCGGATGCTTCGTTCTCTCAGAAACTACCATTTTTTGCACATTTAGCTCCGTATCTCTAAAACGACTGAACTTATCTTTGCCAAAATCTAATCAGCACGTCTCCCCATCAGTAAGAATCGAATGTTTTTTGAATTATTCAAATCGGTTGATTCGTGCATCCGAAATCGTGAATACATATGCACACATTAAACACACATATCTATTTTTTCTGAGGTAGTCAAAATATTCGGAAACCTTCGAAACGTGAAGATATGCAAAAAAAAATTCATTTTCGCTTTTTGGACGATTACAATGACTTACCCTACGGTAAGTTAGAAATTAGTATATACTTGAAAAAAAATTAGATGTGATAGTGAATTTTATTATAATGGGATATAAATGAATATGTCTTCAAAACACCAAATACGATATAAAAGATACCATATAGGATGTAAAATAATAATGCTGTAAGGGTTTAATGCTCTAAGTAAACGAAGAAATATATATATAGAAAAACTTAATTTTATTTACTTGAATCATTACCTAAACGAGTCAGAAATTTGTCAAACAAACCTTAGCACGTTTATTGGTTCAAAATAATTGTATTTATAAAACCAGTAATATATTGGACTAATAAAAGTTTAGCAGTTACTAATAATTCTGTACAGTAATCTCTGAGGTGTAATTAACATTGTCCTGAAATTCATAGCTATAAAGTGTATAAGTATATCACCTATATTTTAATCATTCATTTTTTCACTTACAGAGTTGAGAAGAACAGGAGTGCACCTTGAAAATACTGAGCCCTAATTCACACTCACATCACAAGTCAACAGAATAACAATTAAATCAAGATCATGAATGCAAAATAAAAAATATTAAAAAAAATCATAAATTATTTTTTGTAAAAAAAAATAAATGTGATTTTTCCAATAAAAGGGTGCCAAACATCTTACATATCGAACTCTAAGCATCTGCGCTCAAAACCACATTAGTTATAAATTTTTAAAAATACTCAAAATTTCTTTATTTTAACGTAAATAAATTCAATTATTTTGTATACATTCATTTATTAGCAATATTCAAAATGGTTTTTCATATTTTTAGTTGTAGGTTCAACACATCGCGTCATGAATTACGTGATATTTTTTAACGAACATGAATTTTTAATGAAGTTAAGAGTAATAATTCTTTGCTTTATACTAAGAAAGCAAATTTGAATTAATCATACAAAATATGATAGTCTCTATTTTATTTATTAATATTGTATAATGGCTCTTATATGTACGTAATATCATTTATTCATTTACTATTGTTAAGATACTGTATATATAAACAATGTCCATGTAATGTAATTTATCTAGTTATTAAGTTTAATTTTTAACATGTAAGATTTTTTATGACATGTATTTTATAATAAATAAATTGAAAGTTATCTAAATGATTTCTCTTCTCATATATAAGTAATAATATGGATACATGCTGAAATTATTCTAAATAATAATTAACCCGGGCGCACAATTTTTCGATTTATTTAGATACAAAAAAAACTTATTTTTTTTACAAATAATTATTATCTATGTTTTATTTAACTAAATTATGCAAAAAAAAATATGTTAACAGCGTACGAGGTTGTCAAATATCTCCCTTCCGCTTTTTTGCTCTTGGTTTATAATACAAAAAGGCGGAAGGGAGATATTTGACAACCTAATATTATATTTGTAAACAAGATAGGTACTACGCAGAGTCCACGAGGCAATTTTAAGATTGGGCCCTAAACCACACTCAATATAATAATCAATGGCAATAATCTACAATCCAACGCGATAGATACGAACATAAACTATTTGGATAATATTATTTCTATATTAACAGTGACCCATACAAAAAGCTGTAATATTTTTAGACATAAAAATTACAGTGACCATCACGTTCACATAGCTGCACAGTTTTGGCGGTAAACGTTATACGTATGCGTCATGCATAATAAGGTGTTAATAATTATTTACCTTATTCATCGTGGTCCCTGTTGATAAAACTGCCAATTGAACCAAATTTCATATCGAAACTATATTAATCACTCACATCTACACAAAGCCCAATATGTAATTGCACCATAAATAGACACAACACTGCACTTCACTGCACATAAATTGTGAATTCGCACAAAGTTACCGACTAATCATTGGTTCATGCTTTGATTTTGTGTCTTTTAACATCACAACATTGATTTTAAACATAGATATTTATAGACCAAGACATGGCCATGTTGATGACACTCCAGAATTAATAAAATTTTATATAAAAACTATATTAATAAACGCATTTACTCATATCTACAATGCACCATAATTCTTTTAGCACTAGACACAACTCCGATTTATTTCCACATGAAATGTTCGCACAAAGTTGCATAACCAACTACTTGGCCAATGCTTTGATTTTGTGGCCTTTAAGTCACAACATTGATATTAAACATAGATATTTGTATTTGTAGACCAAGAGATGACCAATGTTTCGATACTATCGAGTTAACGACTGGAAATGTTTTGGGTCATATTTTGAAACTACTAAAATGACGCCAACGGTTAAATGAAATTTTTATCGGCCGTTATAGTTGTTCAGATAAACAAAAAAAAACAAATAAATGAATTCGTTTCATATTGTTTTAAGTTTTACATTTTTATATGTAATATAATATTAATACAATAAGGCTAATATTGTATTATCTGACTTTTTTTTAATCACGCACATTAATTCTGTTTCACGTTGATTGCCGCAAATAAATTACGTGGTAATAATTAGAGACAGTTACCGATTTCATTACTTTGTCTACCAGATTAAGATAAGAATCGATAATTAGCTTAAGTATAATAAAGAATCCAAAAAGAAACAGTTCTCTGCGTTAAAATATCCCGTATGAAATCGATAATTAACTAAACAATGCCATCAACGTCTTTTGCGGCTTTTTCCGTACTCGGCGTTAATAATTGAAATATTTTGGAAAAATTTATTTAAATATATAAAACTTAACTTTAGTACGATATTTATTTTCACATATGTAACAGTATCAACAACCACATAGATAAGTAAAAAAAAATAATAATAATAAATTACACTGTTTTTTGTACAAAGTACTCCGTTGTACTTCCGTAGAAAAAGAGACATGCAGACGTTATCTCTCCTAAAACGACGTTTTTATTTATCGATTCATCATTTTCGATAGTATGCAAAATTAAAAAAAATAATGTCTACGTAACAGTAAGGCTGCCTATGTGCAAACGATTTTTTTTTTATATTTGCACTTTTTTCATGATTGCAAATAAAATCTAATACATACGAGTATAAAATGATTATTTTAAACTTCATAATAATAGAAAATTGTGGTTTTTAAAAGATATTAATAAATTTAACTTAAGTGTAAAAAATAATTAGAAGAATAAATAATTGAATTCTGATAAATTTAGAGCGCAACGACCCCAAGGTAATTTTACATTTATGAAAAAAACTACTATCATCACCCATTACAAAATCAATATATTTATTTTTATTTATCTACGTTAGTTTTTGTGATAAATTTGCATGAATAATAAATATTAATAATATTTGTATATGCTAATATTGAATATAAAAAAATAACAACGTTTATGGAATATGCCGTTATATCATCATATGAACAATATATGGTTAGCAAGCTGCCCAATAGTACATATGTTGATTTATATTCATTTCATATTTATATTCAGCAGCATAGAGGTACGTTGGCCTAATGGCACACTTCCAGAAAGATTCATGTTTTTCAAACTCTTTTCAAGTTTTCATAGTCGGTTGAAAATTCTCTACTCAATCTTTGACGTGTCGTTTTTTATTTTACTAATCATTCCAAAAGAAGCAACATGATTGATAATCTCACGCAAAATTAATGCGAGCCGTTATTAACGAGCTATTATTAACTTGCATTATATAGAAAGCTGACAAAAAGCAAAATTTAAATAAAAATATATAAATAAGCAAATTAAAATTTTTCCATAAAGATGTTGAAAATATTTAGTATAATATGCATTTTAATTATATTAAAATTACACTTAATTATAGTTAATATATAATATTTTTTAATGACCAGCATTTTATCTTGTAAAAGTAGTTTAGTATAAGTGAATACTATTTGCTTCCTTGTAAGCTCATATCACATAGTCCGGAATCATATTTTTCATCAGCAAGAGCTCTTAAAATATCAATCAAAAGCTCTTTTGTTAAACTTGACATCTTTCCTTGTCGTGCCACCTAAAAATCAAAATCAATATTATTCATCAATAGCAACCTGTTTATAAAATTAAAAAAATGTTTAATCTGCTTACAGTGGGAAAATCATTCATTATCATTCGCAAAGCATACTTTTTTATATCAATAGCTTGCATTTTATCTGCTGCTTCCAAAATTTGTACACATTGTCGCTTGTCACATTATTTTCTAAATTTTGTTTGCAAAAAGCCTGCAGTCTATTATTTGTGAAACCTATAAGAATCATAAAGTATTAATAAAATATGTAAATGTTTTCATAATATGTGATAAAAACCATCAATTACCATAAAAGAAAGCTTGAAATAAGTATAGTAGTAGTGAATCCTCAGGAGGCATTTTATCGCCATAATATATATACCGGAGTAAAGATTCAAATGACTCTCTGGAAGGTGATATATCACCTATTTGTATCTAAAATAATTCAGTTATTAATTTATTCAAATGTAATAAATATTTAAAAAAATATTTTATTGATAAAACTTACATTAACTCTATTATCTGATGGCATGAAAGATCTGAACATTGCTTCAAATAAGTACACCTTGCAGCAAGTACGCTTTTATGCGCTGGTATGGCAGAACCATCTAATTCGAGAACTATATCACAAAACTCATTTCCTACTGATTTTAAAAATAATGCCATATCTTGTTCCAATGTTGTTCCTTAAAAATTATATTTTAATTAGTATATTTGAAAAAAATTTGAAATCAATAGCAAAGTTGATTAGTTTTTAAGAAAAAAAAAAAGTGATATGAACATTAAAATGGAATCTAACTAGAATAGATTATTAGATTATTTCACCATAACAGCAATTTTGTTGATTTATAAGAATATAAAAATAAATCAATTTAAAGTACCATATATATAATATACCTATTGAAATATCATATTGCATCTCGGGTAAATTTCTTGCTTGAGGCATTTGTTTGCGGCGTATAATCTCAACCATAAGTGGTTGATAGAGAGTATCAAATTCCTTCGACATAACAATTTGAGTAAAATTGCATTCCTTAACAATAAATCTTAAGCAGAATTCTTTTATCACAGTTAAATTCATTTTGTCTGCATTATGTAAGGCTTCCAATACATTGCAAGGTAATATTGTAAATTCAAGATACTGAATGCACAATTGTTCAAGCTTGGTATATAAACTGTTCCGCGAGCTGATATACATCCATCATCAACAAAACAATTTGATTGCTGAAAGGATCTTTAACTGAAATAAATATTTAATGAAAATTAGATAAAAGAATCTTTAATCAAAATGTTTTTCAAAGATTAGATTTACTTTTTCTGTTGGATCTATTCTGTCAGTATAAATGTAATTCAATACCATCTCAAATGCATCTGAAGAAGCATCCGGTAGTTTAACTTCTAAAAATGGTAGATCAGATGGGGGTGGACGTTCATTTGTATTTACAATAACTGTTCAATATGTTTATCTCTAGCTTCACGGGCAGCCCTGCAGAAATAGTTCATTATTGAAAAAAAAGCAAAACATATAATTAATTAAAAATACATGTGCATTCATCAACTTACACTACATTCTATTTAATCAAGTATTCTATTATTGTATCATATCATGAAAAGAAATTGTCAAAGGTAATATACCAATATATTATGTGATAAAATAACGAAATTAGACATGATGATCATAAAAAACAATAATAAGCTAAATAATTTTTATTTTAATATACACTTTGTACATT